CACCTCATTGAAAGAAAGTCTGAACCAGTTAAACCTAGAGACGTTTAATCAAAGGAAAGGTGCACTAGTTGTTGCTCCTGAACCACGATCAGTCAAGTTCCGATCGCCGTTGTCTTCCCCATCTTTGGCTGAACACCAGGCGAAAAGTGACCTTAACCCCGAGAGGCAAACAATGCCCGTGGCAACTAAACTCAGGCACCAACCGAAACGTGGGAGTAACCAAATCCAGCCAGTCTTGATGACACCTGTATGTAAAAGGGACAAGGCAGTCGAACAGCAACCCTCAGCATTTGCAGCTCAGGGGTCTGTTGTCGAGCCAAAATCCCCTAGAACATTAGTCACATATGCTGCGATTGCTGCAAAGTTCACCTGAGAGGCCACCCTTCCAGTCTCTTCTGTTGCCAACCCCGCTAACTTGAACAGAGAGACAAACAATAAGCAATCAACACTTAGTAGCACGTCAGGACAAACGATCCCCCAACCTTACAACGTACCGAAAAACGGATCTAACGATGGCCCCCTGACTGTTGTGTGCTCGAAAGTACCCGAATCAGCAGCCACAATGTTGCAAGCTAAATTGTCCGGCAACCTAAACCAATTGGTGTCATTGGGCTTTCTGATAAAAGTAAAAGTCAAACCCACCAACTTAGTATGAATTACTCGTCACCAGAACGCTGCACACACTGGCGAGCCCAGACTTATTAGAGTAACACTAGAATCCTGAACTGATGTGGAAAACGTTCTGCTATCCGCAAACGCGCTGCAAGCTGGATCGTGTGGGATACGTAACTATCCTGATATTCCGTGGAACATGCGACAGTCGGAAAGAAACTCCGAAGAAGGACACAGCAAGCCTGATCGCCTAAACACTATCTTCATCCATGGTGTGCCAATGCTTCCTTCATACGACAGTCAAGAGTCCAGAAAGCAGGATTTAGAACAATGGCGATTCATCCGCGAAACCCTTTCCTTGGATAATGTTGTGGCGCAATCGCTCAGAAGGTTACCTCTCTCACCAAATTATAATTTGGGGTGGTCCGAGAATCTACAACTGGGGGTTCAATCCAAGCAAGCAACGACGGATGTGTTACACAGTTGGCACAAAAATCGAAAACAGTTTTCCATCGGAGCTTCTGTAAAGGACTGTAGATGCTTCGCAACGAATAGTTACAAAATCACCAGAAAAAGCCATCGTACGTGCCATGATTGCCCATTTACCAGATACGGTATCTCAGTATCTCAGCGAGCATACGAATAATTGCCTAACTCACACCGGTCAGCACTCCCACGCACCTGAATTCTTTGGCTTCCTGTGGTCTACTAGAGACCGATTAATTAACCTGCTTGTACACGAATGCTTAGGGCTTCTTCCTTAAACTTGCAGAACTGGAAGAACATTAAGTTTCCCAGAAATATGATATCATCGGCATCATGTGGAAGTAGTTACCCGCTAAAATGACAGACGCTGCAATTTCGCTGCCTGGCATGTCACTCATTCGGAACGACAGACTGACAAAAGGAGGAAGCGCAATTCTGTATTATTGAATCGAGTTGCAGTGCGAGGTCATGGAGGGTTCAGATTCGCTGGTTCCTGATTCGCTTTGGTGTCGCCTACAGTTAGGAGACACAGATACTTGCCTTATAGCCTTGGTGTACCATCACCTTAACTCTACATCTGAAACGGACTGACAAATTGCGACTGTCCTACGGCGAACAGTAAAAGGAAGATAAACTCACATCTTGACCATGGGTCATTTCAGTGTGCATGGTTTATAAACCACTGCCAGGAGCGGAGAACAATTTAAAGCCGATCTGCAGGAGCTTGTAACCAGTGTTCCGCTTTGTAAACAAGTCACTTCGCCCACTCGGTTCAGAACAGGTAATAGGCAATCTATGCTTTCTCTTGTGTTTACCAAGGACACATGATTCATGTGTTGGTTGTAGACTGCCCGTTAGGTTGCAGTGATTAAGCATTTAGTAGTTTCAAATTTATCTATTATGCAGAATACCGAGATGTGATACGACGCGAACCATCACATGTTACGACCGATTAGCCCACCTCGTCATTGCCACAACCTGGTCGTTCCTCGCCGAAGACCCCCCGGATGTCGCCTGGCTCGAGTTCGTAAACAAATTCAATCAGCTGGTTACGGATGCTTCAGAGACAAAAGTTTGCAAACGGTCTGAAACAGTTACTTACATAAGGAGTGGAACTCGAAAATTGCTGGCAGTACGCAACGCAGAACGACTAGAGTATAGATTATCCCCAACACGAGAAAGATGACATAGCTATGTAGCCAAACGAAACAACTACACTCAACTGTTCAAAGAGTACAAAAAGCTTCACCAGCAGAGCCGAGCAAAAATCTTCAGCTCCAATCACAAACTGCTGTGTAACCATATCAATGGACTACAGAATGTGAGGCAAGGAATTCCGCCACTCACGACGGCTGATGGCCAAATGCGAACTACTACGGAAGCAGCAAACAAGCTGCAGATGCATTATGACCCATCTTCCAGAGTGTTTTGTCATCGGGAGATCCCCCAGCTTTTATCGCCCCGCCGCCGGGACTCAGTCACAGCTCCTTTATCGCCGAAGCTGTCTTGCGGAAGCTGACCAATCTACGCAAACACAAATCTCAGGGTGTCGATACTATTCGCACAGAGGCACTGGGAGCAGCAGCAAGTCTACAGGCAGAGCCAATGGCTCAGTTCTTTCAGCGCTGCTTAGATTAGAACCAAGTTCCTGCCGTGTGGAAGCTTGGAATAGTAACACCCATTCACATAGGTGGAAGCAGAACCGAGGCTTAAAACTACCGCCCAGTTTCCGTTATCCCTATACTGTCCAAGGTGATGGAATCCATCATAGCCCATGCGCTGGTGGGCTATTTGTAAAACTAACATTATTATTTCTGAGCAGCGCGGCTTCCGTCGAAATCGATGGTGCACATCGAATTTGCTAATGGCACAGAGTAGCTGGACCCAGTCCGCTAAGGCTGGAGAGGATGTAGATGTGACCTACCTGGATTTCTCGATAACATTCGACTGTCTAGATCATCGGCTAATCTTTTCCAAGCTACAGCGTCACGGGATCTGTGACCCTCTTCTAAGCTGGTTCGCTAGCCATCTCCTTTAGCGGCAATTGACGGTCACAGTGCAGATCATTTTCTCTTACCCCATACAGTTTGTGTGTGATGTGCCTGAAGGCCCTGTGCTAGGTCCCCGATTGTTTTTGGTATTAATTAATGACCTCACACAGCCATTTACATCTAACTTTCTGCTGTTTGCCGATGACGTCAAGGTGTGACGCAAGCTTCAAGCTTTATAATTTTCTCACTAGACGCAACTCCAAAAATAACAATTCACTACTCCACAAAACTTCTAGCCCAACCGAAGGAAAAAACAAAACGCCAATGACCTTGCTAAAATAACGTATTAATCGCCGTCAACGAACAGTGTACAACGACTGTGGACCTTGGCTCTATTTATAGGTCTCTTACTGACCTTCGATTTCTAGAATTGGAAGGTCAGCTGCCAAGGTTAGTGGTTCCCCATATCTTTTGCTGAGGGGTCAGGTGGACTTTAATCACGTGCATAAGAAGAACATTCCGAAACGTTCGAAATCGATGCGATAATCGTTAATAATCGATTAACCGCTAAAATAGTGGATTTCCAAGGCAATTCTTACTTTCTTCCGGACACCTCCCCTCCTGAGATATCGTCCGAGGTATAAGACGAAAGCCTAGGATTAACTTGTAGTCTTCGGGACGGTGTTCTCTACCTGTCGATCCACCTCCTTGGCAGAAGCGTCCGACCACTTTGTTCCCATGTTCTTGTTCTGGATTCTTCGCTCGACTGTTTGCAGTCGTCCACTGCTTCCTTCGGCAAGTTGAAACTTTCCACCAGTAAATCGAACAGCAGGTCAGTAGGCCTTGCTTGTTCTGGTTGGCAAGATGTGCACCGTAACTTATTTGCATGCCGCAGCCAGATCTGTGCGCCCACCATCACGTCATACATGAGGTTTCCGCGCTTGCTTTTGACCGTCCCTGGCGTCCATTTTGCATGGCCTTCCCGGTGGTCACGTATTAGCACCTTCTGTCCAAGCGTAAAAGATCGCTTCTTTGCTCCATGCCACCGATTAAAATCCTGTTCCATGCTGCGGTTTCTTTCACCAACAGAAGACTCCGAGCGCGGTCGGATGGCGTCGAAAGGCACGCGGAGTTTCCGGTTCATCATGACCTGTGCTGGAGAGACTCCGTTTGGCGCATGTGGATTCGGTGTTGCTCGGTAGAGGAAAAGGAACCGGTCAACCACCTCCTCTATACGTCCCACTCCTTTTGATTTGTGGACAGCTCGCTTGAATGGATCGACAAACCTCTCTGCCTGGCCATTCGACTGTGGGTAAAACGGCGGCGAGCAAACGTGCTGTACGGCGCATTGCTTGCAAAACTCCGTAAACGTTGCTAAAGTAAATTGTGAGCCATTGTCGGCGACAATTGTCTCAGGACAGCCGAATCTGCTAAAGGTTAGGCGCAGTTTCGATATGGTGGCATTGGTGATTGTGTTCCTCATAAGGAACACTTCAGACCACTTGCTGTATGAATCGACTATAATGAAGAAACTTCGGACGTTGATCGGTCCCGCAAAGTCGACATGGATGCGGCACCATGGCTTAGTAACTTTTGGCCATGAATAGAGTACTGATTTTGGTGGCGCTTTCAAGACATTATCACACTGTTGGCAGCGCTTGGCTATTTCTTCTAGCTGTTTGTCCATGAACGGCCAGTATACATAACGGCGGGCAAGCGCTTTCATCCGGTTGATTCCAGGATGAAAAAAAAAACAAATAAAAAAGAAAAAAAAGAAAAAAAAATCAAAAAAATAAAAAAAAAAAAAAAAAAATACAAAAACATTGAAAACAAAAAACAACAAAAATAAAAAACAAAAAAATAAAAAAAAAAAATAAAAAGCAAAAAGAAAAGAAAAATAAAACGACCAACACTTCCCCCAGCTGCCCCCAAGACCCCCAAACAAAGACAACACCCACAACGTAAACCACACCCCCACCCCCCCCCCCCCCCCCCCCCCCCCCCCCCCCCCCCCCCCCCCCCCCCCCCCCCCCCCCCCCCCCCCCCCGACCCCCCCCCACCCCCCCCCCCCCCCCCCCCCCTCCCCCCCGCCCCCCCCCCCCCCCCCCCCCCCCCCCCCCCCCCCCCCCCCCCCCCCCCCCCCCCCCCCCCCCCCCCCCCCCCCCCCCCCCCCCCCCCCCCCCCCCCCCCCCCCCCCCCCCCCCCCCCCCCCCCCCCCCCCCCCCCCCCCCCCCCCCCCCCCCCCCCCCCCCCCCCCCCCCCCCCCCCCCCCCCCCCCCCCCCCCCCCCCCCCCCCCCCCCCCCCCCCCCCCCCCCCCCCCCCCCCCCCCCCCCCCCCCCCCCCCCCCCCCCCCCCCCCCCCCCCCCCCCCCCCCCCCCCCCCCCCCCCCCCCCCCCCCCCCCCCCCCCCCCACCCCCCCCCCCCCCCCCCCCCCCCCCCCCCCCCCCCCCCCCCCCCCCCCCCCCCCCCCCCCCCCCCCCCCCCCCCCCCCCCCCCCCCCCCCCCCCCCCCCCCCCCCCCCCCCCCCCCCCCCCCCCCCCCCCCCCCCCCCCCCCCCCCCCCCCCCCCCCCCCCCCCCCCCCCCCCCCCCCCCCCCCCCCCCCCCCCCCCCCCCCCCCCCCCCCCCCCCCCCCCCCCCCCCCCCCCCCCCCCCCCCCCCCCCCCCCCCCCCCCCCCCCCCCCCCCCCCCCCCCCCCCCCCCCCCCCCCCCCCCCCCCCCCCCCCCCCCCCCCCCCCCCCCCCCCCCCCCCCCCCCCCCCCCCCCCCCCCCCCCCCCCCCCCCCCCCCCCCCCCCCCCCCCCCCCCCCCCCCCCCCCCCCCCCCCCCCCCCCCCCCCCCCCCCCCCCCCCCCCCCCCCCCCCCCCCCCCCCCCCCCCCCCCCCCCCCCCCCCCCCCCCCCCCCCCCCCCCCCCCCCCCCCCCCCCCCCCCCCCCCCCCCCCCCCCCCCCCCCCCCCCCCCCCCCCCCCCCCCCCCCCCCCCCCCCCCCCCCCCCCCCCCCCCCCCCCCCCCCCCCCCCCCCCCCCCCCCCCCCCCCCCCCCCCCCCCCCCCCCCCCCCCCCCCCCCCCCCCCCCCCCCCCCCCCCCCCCCCCCCCCCCCCCCCCCCCCCCCCCCCCCCCCCCCCCCCCCCCCCCCCCCCCCCCCCCCCCCCCCCCCCCCCCCCCCCCCCCCCCCCCCCCCCCCCCCCCCCCCCCCCCCCCCCCCCCCCCCCCCCCCCCCCCCCCCCCCCCCCCCCCCCCCCCCCCCCCCCCCCCCCCCCCCCCCCCCCCCCCCCCCCCCCCCCCCCCCCCCCCCCCCCCCCCCCCCCCCCCCCCCCCCCCCCCCCCCCCCCCCCCCCCCCCCCCCCCCCCCCCCCCCCCCCCCCCCCCCCCCCCCCCCCCCCCCCCCCCCCCCCCCCCCCCCCCCCCCCCCCCCCCCCCCCCCCCCCCCCCCCCCCCCCCCCCCCCCCCCCCCCCCCCCCCCCCCCCCCCCCCCCCCCCCCCCCCCCCCCCCCCCCCCCCCCCCCCCCCCCCCCCCCCCCCCCCCCCCCCCCCCCCCCCCCCCCCACCCCCCCCCCCCCCCCCCCCCCCCCCCCCCCCCCCCCCCCCCCCCCCCCCCCCCCCCCCCCCCCCCCCCCCCCCCCCCCCCCCCCCCCCCCCCCCCCCCCCCCCCCCCCCCCCCCCCCCCCCCCCCCCCCCCCCCCCCCCCCCCCCCCCCCCCCCCCCCCCCCCCCCCCCCCCCCCCCCCCCCCCCCCCCCCCCCCCCCCCCCCCCCCCCCCCCCCCCCCCCCCCCCCCCCCCCCCCCCCCCCCCCCCCCCCCCCCCCCCCCCCCCCCCCCCCCCCCCCCCCCCCCCCCCCCCCCCCCCCCCCCCCCCCCCCCCCCCCCCCCCCCCCCCCCCCCCCCCCCCCCCCCCCCCCCCCCCCCCCCCCCCCCCCCCCCCCCCCCCCCCCCCCCCCCCCCCCCCCCCCCCCCCCCCCCCCCCCCCCCCCCCCCCCCCCCCCCCCCCCCCCCCCCCCCCCCCCCCCCCCCCCCCCCCCCCCCCCCCCCCCCCCCCCCCCCCCCCCCCCCCCCCCCCCCCCCCCCCCCCCCCCCCCCCCCCCCCCCCCCCCCCCCCCCCCCCCCCCCCCCCCCCCCCCCCCCCCCCCCCCCCCCCCCCCCCCCCCCCCCCCCCCCCCCCCCCCCCCCCCCCCCCCCCCCCCCCCCCCCCCCCCCCCCCCCCCCCCCCCCCCCCCCCCCCCCCCCCCCCCCCCCCCCCCCCCCCCCCCCCCCCCCCCCCCCCCCCCCCCCCCCCCCCCCCCCCCCCCCCCCCCCCCCCCCCCCCCCCCCCCCCCCCCCCCCCCCCCCCCCCCCCCCCCCCCCCCCCCCCCCCCCCCCCCCCCCCCCCCCCCCCCCCCCCCCCCCCCCCCCCCCCCCCCCCCCCCCCCCCCCCCCCCCCCCCCCCCCCCCCCCCCCCCCCCCCCCCCCCCCCCCCCCCCCCCCCCCCCCCCCCCCCCCCCCCCCCCCCCCCCCCCCCCCCCCCCCCCCCCCCCCCCCCCCCCCCCCCCCCCCCCCCCCCCCCCCCCCCCCCCCCCCCCCCCCCCCCCCCCCCCCCCCCCCCCCCCCCCCCCCCCCCCCCCCCCCCCCCCCCCCCCCCCCCCCCCCCCCCCCCCCCCCCCCCCCCCCCCCCCCCCCCCCCCCCCCCCCCCCCCCCCCCCCCCCCCCCCCCCCCCCCCCCCCCCCCCCCCCCCCCCCCCCCCCCCCCCCCCCCCCCCCCCCCCCCCCCCCCCCCCCCCCCCCCCCCCCCCCCCCCCCCCCCCCCCCCCCCCCCCCCCCCCCCCCCCCACCCCCCCCCCCCCCCCCCCCCCCCCCCCCCCCCCCCCCCCCCCCCCCCCCCCCCCCCCCCCCCCCCCCCCCCCCCCCCCCCCCCCCCCCCCCCCCCCCCCCCCCCCCCCCCCCCCCCCCCCCCCCCCCCCACACCCCGGTGTGGAACTGCCGAATAAGACGCTCCTGAAGTGCCTTGGGGATGACCACTTTCCGAAAATATTATACAGTCGTTTACAATAGAGAGCGAGTGTCTCCTCTGGAAGTACTGTTGCAACTCGGCAGACGGACAAGAACATGGCCAACTTGTTTTGTGAAATCGTGTAACCTTCTTGAGTATTGGGTCCCTCAGTGTTTCGGTTCGTACAGCTTCTGCGGTAACTGGTAGAGCGTGCAATGCATCAGTTACCAGGAAGTTGACGTCAGGTTCAATCTCGACCGAGGCAATGACTGTGTCCTCATGTTCATGCTGGCGGGCATCAATTAGGCGTGACAGTGCATCCGCTTGGCCAATGGAAACTGTGGACTGGTATTGGATCTCAAAATCATACCCCATTAAGGTAAGAGCCCAACGTTGCAGCCGGTTGGGTGTGTAGGCCGGAATGCCCTTTTTCGAACCAAAGGTAGCCAGCAAGGGCTTGTGATCTGTCAGAAGCTTGAAGCGGCGGCCGTATAGCATTTTGTGGAATTTCTTGACTGCATACACTATGGCCAATGCTTCTTTCTCAATCTGGCTGTAATTTTTCTCGGCCTTCGTAAGTGTCCTGGCGGGATGGGCGATTGCCTTCTGAGATCCATCGGCGTAACTGTGTGATAGTACTGCACCAATCCCATGGCTTGATGCATCTGTGGCCAAGACAATCTCTTTGGAGGGGTCAAAATGAGTCAAAAGCAAGTTTGAGGACAGCAGTGACTTGACGCGTTCGAAGGCATTCTGGCATTCTGATGTCCAGTTCCATGTTTGGCCTTTGGCTAATAGCTTGTTTAACGGGGCACGCAGGCGGTGCATCTCAGGCAGGAATGCGCTGTAGTGGCTGATGAGCCCACAAAAGGAACGCAAGGACTGTAGATCTGTTGGTGGTGGCATGTTTCTAATGGCTTCTATGTTTTTCGGATCTGGTCGACGTCTATTCTTTCCGAAGATAAAACCGAGTTATTTGATGATCGGCATGAAAAATGTGCATTATCCTCACGGATCCTGAAACCGTGCGACTGTATACAACCAAGCTCTTCATCCAGTCCGTTAAACAGTTTCTTCTGGTGTTTGGCCCAACCATATGATACCATCCAGATACATCACAGTCTGTGTGT